AGTATGCCTCAGTAATTCGTTCAAACTCCAAAACATTGGAAAAAGCAGATTCGTTGATTGCCACAGACTGCAAGAGCCTTTATGATCTGATCAGTCCAACTGCTCCACCATCGTGCCAGGAATTTAGGACCTTGCTTCAAGCCCGCTTGATTAAAGAACATTTGGCAACCGGAGTAACTGTTCGATGGGTACCATCAAACGCTCAGGTAGCCGATTGTTTAACAAAAATTATGGACACAACGTCTCTAAGAGAAGTCCTTCAGAGAGGCAAATACCAGTTAAATGATAAAAATGAGATGTTGAAAAACCGTTCCGACCAAAAAGCTCACTTGAAATGGATCCGAAGCCACTCTCCACAGGACACGGCCTCGTGAATGGTGAGAGAAAAGCCAAGACGTCTCCACTTGAAACGAGAGCTGACTCTCGCCCTCCCGAAAGAAGAAGGTCCAGAAGATCCCAGCGAAGACTGTGAAAGTGAATCAGCCTTGAAAAGTGTGAAAATCAATGAAATATCATTGATAGATCTTCAAGACTCAACATGGACCGCAAGTTAAGGGGAAAGTTACTCTGAAGAGTACTTAGGGGTTGCAAGAAATGTGTACTAGATCATTTCCCATGCAAGCTTCCACTCAGTGTGGACCTTTTCGTTCGAACATGCTTGACAAAAATAAAGGTTTGGGTATGTCAATTTCGCATGTCGCATGTTCGTGAACCAGCTCTTGGACCTTCGTCGGCACTTACTCACTCAAGCAAGGGGAGGGTGGGAGGTGTTGCCACGTTCCGAGCCATTTGAGACCGGAGTCTCAGTGCAGGGCACTTGGTGGAAAAGCTGCGCTACGGTTGAGCTTCAGGGAAGCGGGAAATCCAACAGAGTATAATTCAGACAGGTGCAACTTTGTATTGTGAGAGCCCAATCACCGGACCATCCCTACCAGTGGCGATCCAGATTTTGGATCGACAATATATTATATATTATATATTATATTATATTATATTACATTATAATATATTATATTATATTATATTATATTATATATATATTATATATATACATAACCCAGTTTAATCCAGAGGATCATGTGTGGATTCTCTGAGCACCACTTTGCGTTCATGCTGGGGATCCCCAGCTGTCACTCGCGTTCATGCTCCGAGGCAGTTCGATCCAGCCCACCTCCGACGAAGCTGCTGTAAAGAGGGAACAGAGTAGGAACTGGGTAAGAACAGGGTAGGGTTGGTAGGGTCTTGTTTAACGAAGCATTCTTGATGCAAGCGTTCAAGACTGGACCATTGTGTCTACCAGCTAAAGATTGAACTCAGTTCCGACCCTTTTGAGTATTTTGAGGCAAGTGGCTCAAGTGACTGTGTACGATCAACCTTTGGTATCAGCGACCCTAGGGAAGGACTTGATGAGAAACGGGGTCTGACCTTGTCCGTCTTGAGTCTCCGCACGTTGGGTCGCCACATCACCACAGAATCCCGCAGCGGGGTGGCATCGGCCACATAGCCAGGGCTGCTGGTGTCCCTGAGGTGCAACAATGCTTAGGACCGCTGAAGCGCCTGGTGAAGGTGGTCGGGGTTTGCATAATGGCTCTTCCAATAAGACGTTGGAATGATTTACTTGATCCCAATGGCATTCACGGAAATTGAATGCGGAAAGGCTAGGATTGAACTGCTGTCTGGATATCCTGGACTTTATTTTCCACCTGCATCAAGTCTAGGAATGTCACCCTGCTCTTCATTTTGCCCGTGTTGCTCTCTACCACGTGACTCAGGAAACAGAAAGGAAACAGCTGGAAAGCTTGAGAGAGTTGGAATCCTCCTAGCACAAACGGGCAGAAGCCATGCTCGTCTTCACTTGGTCATTCTTATCCTTGCAAGAATTCCGCCATTGAATCAGGTGTCGCAGTCGGTCTGAGGTTGGAGCTTTCGCATTTTAGACTCGCAGCAGTCCTTGCAGCATCATCCAACACAGCACGGTCAGGTTTGGAGTCCTTTGGTCAAACTCAAGAGGTCAAACATATTCGTACGATGCTCACATGTCGGTGTTTGATGTCTTTTTATACATGCCCGTCCTCTGTGAGAAACCAATCGACTGCATCCTTCTTGGTCTGCGGAAGGCAAGCAATCTGCCTCCAAAATTCAACAAGCATTTTCCAACCTTTGTGGTAGTTGCACTGGTTGGGTTGCAGAAGATCGCAAAAGGTTGCTTTCATGCAGGCTGGATGACCTGAATGACCCAGGCTTGTTGCAAACCCGCCAGAATCGAACCGTCCAACAAAAGCTCTCAACTCCAAAGGTCATCCGAGGTGCCATTGAGCTGCGTGGCAAACACAGCACCTGGCTTCCCACATTGATCCGGGGCTGTTTGCAGATCCAAATCTACCCGAACACTGCGTTCTTACCTTTACCTTGTTGAAGAACTATCTGAAGATTAAGGTCCCAACATCATGTAATTTGAACGCAACTGTCCACTACCCACATCAATCAAACTAATCACTGAGCGCAGCGCCAGTCGCTCCAGCCCCCACAGCGAGAGGCGCCATCTGCGAGGTATCCTTGCAGCCTCAGATCAAATGCGCCAATCCAAGCTTCGTCAAACTCGCTGGGACAAAAGAATTCCAGCTTACCCGTAGGTTCGGGTAATATCTTTGGTCTTCACTTGCGGCAAATTTTCAGCAAGGTTGCGTGTGTCCCATTCACGGAGGTGTTAAAAAAAAAAAAAAACTCTTGTTGCCATCCTGATTCTGAGCTGCACACGGATTAAACTTGAATATATACCTCAGCAGGGATCATCTACGCTTCAATGAAGCAAAACGAGTACAGACCTGTAGATCCTTGCTGGGATGCCAACGCGGTATAAACTTGACCGATGCAACAGGTATATTTGGTGATGGAACACCATTCGAAAAAACGATGATATGAGATCCTGAGATCTAAAAACCATGATGCGGTTCAATTCGCCGGCCGGTTGCAGCAGCGTGTTTTGTGGATGTGATATATAATACAGTATGTCTTGTGTATTGCTTCGTGTTGTAGCGTAGTTGTAACATATAGAATCTCATAGAATCACCTTGTACATACATTTGCCTCCACTTTCCCATGACTTTACCTGCAAACCTCTGCCTCCATAAGGCCGGTTGAACAGGCCACTTAAAGTAAGGTCTCAAGTGAGCATGAGATACAGATAGAGGGAGAGCAGCGAATTGACAGGAATTGAGATACAATGAGGCAAAAGGGGCAAGTTGAACAGCATGATGTGAGTTGTGCTGAGACCATAAATTTCGACAAATATACATATGGTGTAAGAGGAATATTAAGATGAGGACTGTCTTAGATTTGGACAAAAGTTCTTTAGCATGTGTTGTCTCTCTCTAAAGCATCCCTTCTCCTAAAGAACTCAAACCTTGTTGTCAATGTGGGTGTCCAAGAAAGTAGCATATCAAAGTCAATCTCGCCAAAAGGCCCGAAAGAAATCTTTGGGACTTGAAGCTTCCTTGAGACTCCCCGCTTCAATGCGACTTCAGGCTCCTTGGTACCAGATCCGTCCAAGGAGGCCTCGCCTGGAAGACAGACAAACCCTCACAATCCTAGCAAGATTCAAAACCGTCTTTCCATCTCGGCAAGGCCCACGTCTCTTTCGTTCTAAGTTAGATAGATTGGTTTGTTTGATTGATTGATTGATTCTGTTGAGATTCATTGTTTATCTATTTCTTTCGTTTTTTCTTTCTTTCTTTCCTTTCTTTCTTCCTTTCTTTCTTTCTGTCTTTCTTTCTTTCATTGACTCATTGATTGCACAATGAAACCGCCCCGGAAAGGTTCTTGCCAACACCTTGACGAGAGTTCAAGGCAGTCAGCTGTGTCATATTCAGCCAATCCTTAGATCATTGCAAACAGTGGTGGCAATTATATACTGCAAATCACCAAAAATGAATTCCAAGATAGCGGTTGGCCCTTTCTGGACCCTTTCAGGATGGCACGACAAATGCAAAATGAAAGTGACCGACCCAGGTGAACTGATACGAGTGCAAAGGAATGACGCACAGTCTGGCAAGCGATAATCTCTTCAACATAGCCTCATCAAAGTGCCTCAAATCTTACAGTGGTTCAAAAACCGCCACGGTCCTGCGTTTGACCCATGGCCACATCAGAGCATGTCGTCTGACCCTCAGGGACACCCGGCAGGCAGCTCACAAACCTCCTCTCCAGCTGCATGCGCTCGGAGCACAGAGCGGTTGACGCCTGAGGGTAGAAGACCAAGGTACAAGCTCCATGGGGTCTTGATGGGTATTCTGACCATCACAGGAGAATCAGTCCTAACGCTGTCACTTGAAACCTGTACCGATATACACATGTATTCTGAATGAGAAACACTCTTTGCCACAGGACAGGATGAAAGTTATAAGTAAATGACACAAGTCTAAACGCAACTTTCCAGATTGAGAGATGCAAGGCAATATCATCTAGTCTAATGAACATTGGGTCCAGCAAACCTCTCCCACAAGCAGGTCACTACAGTTTTGCACTTGAGAATGCCCACCCACCCTGAGTCGGCCGATACACCATTTTGGCTGCAAGTCTGCAGGGATTGCTTAATGTGAGAGTACTGCCTTGTTCTCTGTGATCTTCCATGGTTTTCCACAATTCCTCATCTGGAAGTAGCCTGCGTGCTTGCCGGACTGGACATCTGCCCGACGCACGTCCCAGGCCATCGTGGTAAAGTGCCGAAGGTTCAGCTCGTGCACCTGAAGTGCCTAGCAGTCATAGCCTAGTCATAGCCTTCAATGTCGCACTGTGTTGAAGCAATCAAGGTGATGTTCAGATGGGCGGTCCAAAGCTTTCCAAAACTGCAGCTTGGGCCTAAAAGAGCTAGAAAAACTCGTCTTGTTGCAGGGCCAATAGCTTTCGCCAGCGCATTGGCTTCAGTGACCACAATGAGCTTTCATCGCTGAAGAACACCAGGGAGAAGCTTTCCCCTTTAAATAGTCTCTCCCGGCCCGGGGTCAGCTCCGCTTTCGCGCCACAAAGAAGGACATGACTCGGCCGTCTTCGCCAGGCAGCTCCTACGGCGAACCGATGTTGAAATAGTGGACTGCCAAGTTGAGGGTGGCTCCGGTGCAAAACGCGTGTTCTATCAAAGTAGACCAAAACATTCGAGGAACTACCGAACTAGTCATGTCCATCTGCACATGAAGCTTGCCAAAAGCCAAGGGAGCTTGAAGCCGAAGAGATGCAAGGGTTCTGTTTGTTTTTAGATAGATTTCTCCCTTTGGCCTCATGATCAGTTTCTTGCGATCGACAGTCGTCCCTATCACCCAGCCGCCTCGTCCCTCAGAAGCTCCAAAGCATTGCCAAAGGTTCTGCTAAGCTCACCCGGCCGCAAGAGGTGCTCAGGGTCTTTGGGATGGGAGCAGCCTAGGGACAGTTGCATGGAGTCGAGGGTTTGGAATTAAGAGTTTGAAGCATGAACCTACATGCCAAGAAAGTTGAGCCATACCCGAGCCAAGGTGGTTGGAGGTATCTATATCTCGCTCTCACGACCATCGCCCTGGCAGTGCCTTCCATGAAGGTGTGAAAGAGAAGCAAGCCTGGCTTTGCAGCAAAGAAAAACTGAAAGGATCTCAAAGGTAAGTTTGGCAAATCGCAACCCGCCGCAACCACAAATTTTGAAAAACTGCAGGTTCGGGACTCCTCTGAGTGCTAGCTGCTAGGTTTCAGCCAGCTGATGTCACCCCTGCCTCCAGGCGCTAGCAGGTCAACGATTTCCAGCAGAGTGGGCCGATGGAGGTGCCGATTCACCATCACCAACTGGAAGTGCCCGAGCCTCACACGGTTCAGCCCTGATCCGACAGGTCGACAGTCCATGGTAGCGTCCGTGCTCCTAGTGGCCATGCGCCCCTAGTAGCGTCCTTGCTCCTAGTAGAATGCTATTCTTGGAAGCAGGAACAAAATTGCCATGAAGCAAGTGGAGGTTCATCCCAACATTGTGAACAAGCACATCACACCAATAGTTCTGCCCGTGCCCTCCCGGATACTGGTGCAGAACATTGAAAATGTGTTGAATAAAAATGTTCAAGGCATGTGGTTTATATGGTTTTCTTTTGTTGGGTTCATGTGTGGATCTTCTCTATACCCTCTTCTATATCCTCTGACTTTGTCAAGCAACTCCTCCACCGCAGCCAGCAGGTCTCCCGAGTCAGCCAGTGTGCAGCACACGGAACCGCAAATTTCATTGCAGCCCTGCGCAAGTGGGACATGAGGCAAACGATTGCAGATCTATCAGTTGTGCAATCAAGTCAAGCTGCAACTTTGCTAGAAAACCACTTTTGCAAAATGTGTTCTTCCCAATCTCACTGTATATGTACATACCAGCCCCGACCGCAAACAGCATTGTTCAATTGGTGTTTAATGGCCATGGCATACATTATCAAAACGTGACGTATTCAAAACACAAACCTCTGTGGTTTCAAAAACACACCGCTGGTTCTTGTCGAAAATACGTCAATGTATTTCGCCCAATACAAGCATGCCTTCTCAGAACATGTCACGACGCTGTGCATTTTGACCAATAGAAAGGGCCCTCTTCAGAAACACGACCATGAATTTCCAAGTTTGAACTCGTTTTGTTACCAAGACACCCATGTGTACTTTCCAATTATATAGCATCTGTGCCAATGCAAGCATGTGTTTTGAAAGACATGACGGTTCATTTCCACAGTCAAAAGCTCGGCCAGCGCAAACACAGTCAGAAAACCGTCTGCGCATTTCGACGCGTGTTCAGAAACATGCCGCTGCCCTATGTGGGAAAAAATAACTAGAGCAAACGAAGGTTGACCCGGCGGCACATGCCATCGTGGCCGTCCGGCGCTCATGGTTGTATTGAGAAAATTTCAGGGGATCCGACCCACAAGTTGCAATGGGACAAGCGTGGAGACACGTGGGGAAATCATGCCATGACAGGTTGTCAGTGGGGAGACAAGTGGGGAAATCATCTCGTGAGAGGGCGCGGTTTGGAAACCAAAAGAGCCCGCAAAAACATGTTTTTTGGAGAAAACCATACACACTCATATGTACACAGTACACGCGAAATGCTTTGGGCGATTGGTATGTACATATATATATATATATGAAAGCAAGTTTTTCAAATTGAACGATTTGCGCTAGAAGTTTCTTTGTCAGTCATGGTGCCACAAGTGCCGCAGCGTAACGGTTTCCAAAAAGTCGTGTACGTGAGTCATTGTTTGGGTGTTTTCGCGTGCTAGCGGGCTCGGTTCTTAGAGGGTCTGCACAGGTCTTCTTGCATCTTGCTCAGGAAACTGATCCGTCCGTGGCATGGACATGGATGGCTGCGACTGACACTATAAAATGCCCCTGCAAGTAGCATTGATGAACCAGCCCCCCTCTTTAACTTTCAGTTTCGTCGATTCAGGTGTACGAGGCCGCTGTATAGTTGTCCATAGTTGTGTCCAGTGTAGAAAAGGGATCATCCATCAAGACAGTCTTGGGAGATGCAAAGTCCATCTCCCCTTCATCTCCTCCAGCTGCCGATGCGATCGACTGTCTTCTGTGTTTCTTGCCGCGTCTGCTTTCTGGAGTCTTCGTAGGGGTCGACGATCCACAGGACGTGTGGACACGGAGCAGTCTCCTTCTTGATCTTCTGGATTCTGGTTGGTGAACTCCAGACCCTGGTCCTGAACTCCCACTCATGGAGTCCGGCTGCTGCATGTAGGAGCCGCTCTTCGTCTCCAACGGTGCAGCCCCATGGGTACTAGATCATAGATCTGAATCGAAGTCCTGCAAGGAACAGTGCTCCATTCACGCGCAATCAATCAAGATCCACTCAGGTCAGCTTACGCTGCCAAACACGCTCAACCAACACACAATGGATCTGTGAGCCACTGTGAAAGTCCGGTACTGGGAACACGGTCTACAGCACCGGCTCCCCTACCAGAATGAATCTCGACCAGATCCGTTTGTTTTCGTACCACGAAAGCGCAACGGCCCTGGTTTGAGCCAAGCCTGAGCACACGCGTTCATAACCTGGATGCTTTATATCCGCCGACCCCTGCTTAGCCTTGGCCTAAGCGGGGCGGCGCCTGGGACAGCGCAGCAAGAAGCCATCACCAACGACTTTGGCCGCATGCTGCATGCCTGCACCGCAGCCTTGCCTGCCAAAGCCGGTGCACCGCAGCCTTGCCTGCCAAAGCCGGTGCATGTCACTCTTTGGGCGTTTCGAAAGCACTGTTTGCCAGGCTTCAAACGCCTCTCGGCAGCCGGCAGGGCCGTTGGCCAGGCTCCACAGCCCTTCCCGGGACCTTTGGCTGCACATGCCTGCACCGCAGCCTTGCCTGCCAAAGCCGCCTTGCCTGCCAAAGCCGGTGCATGTCACTCCTTGGCCGCACGCTGCATGCCTGCACCGCAGCCTTGCCTGCCAAAGCCGGTGCACCGCAGCCTTGCCTGCCAAAGCCGGTGCATGTCACTCTTTAGGCGTTTCGAAAGCGCCGTTTGCCAGCCCTCAAAAGCCTCTCGGCACCCAGCAGGGCCGTTGGCCAGGCTCCACACCCCTTCCCAGGACCTTCGGCTGCACATGCCTGCACCGCAGCCTTGCCTGCCAAAGCCGGCGCATGTCACTCCTTAGGCGTTTCGAAAGCGCCGTTTGCCAGCCCTCAAAAGCCTCTCGGCAGCCGGCAGGGCCGTGCATACACTAGCGCATCCGTAGTGTGGCAGAAGCACCGGTCAAAGAAATCAAGAATACAGAGTCTTGAGGACATAGCCGGTGTATGGTTATAGCAATCCCTGTCCGGCTTCTGGTCTTCCAGCTCCTCCCCCAAGAAAAGGGGCCGGCGGCACCAGGGCGGAGCCCTTACTATATGTATATACTATATATATATGCAGAATACACTGTTGCAAACACTGGGGGGAATCACACCTGTAACGATCGGGTAGAGCAGTTGCCACTTGACGCTGCCTCGTGCCACTGAAGAGGGGCTGGCACTTCTTTGTCTTGATCGATTGGTACCAAGTGAATTATCTGGACACATCTGTGTTCCTCTCTGTCCACCCAATCTGCCCGCTTGTAATATGTCTGAGAACCACTCGGCCTGCCGCTCAGCCAATGTACCAAGGCGGTCCAATGCTCTCTGATCTCTGTCCAGAGCTGTGACCTGGAGCCGCACAGCGATAGTGCTTACTGATGTGATTGTGGCTGCTGATCACCATCACCCCAAAAATGATTCCAGAGATTCCAAAACCTTCTGCTTTGCTTTGCTCACAAATGATGGTTTGCAGTGTGGAAGTGTTGGTATAAGCAAAAATAATGTTGCATCTTAACTGGGGCCCACTTTGCTGCTCTCTGATGCAGTTTTGAACCTCTATATGCCAAAGAAAGCTACGCTCCGGTTGAATTGCTTTGTCTTGGCTCTCCGTCAATTTCCAGAGCCGCGGGTGTCACATCCCTACTTGATTGTTTATGCCTTCTCCAAGTGCGCAGAAAGTCTCGCGAGTGCGGTGTCGTATTTAGGGTCTAGCCCTCTTGTCCTTGCCCTGCGTCTGGTTTCGTGCTATTGTTTTGTACTCAACTCTTTATCGATTTACAGTTTTTCAGGCAAACATGGTGTTGGTTGTCTTTCTCCATTGGCATCGAAGCTGGACTGGTTCTGGACCTAGTTTGGTTCTAGTTGTGACTATCGTCGCAGCCTGGTGACCTGACCTCACTCTGCCATCTCCATGAAAATGGCTTCGAACACGACTCTGCTGGTGTCGATCAGCGACTGCACGGAACATCTATATAAATGAAACTTGAAAGCAGTGAGACCCAGTCCACGGCGAAACCCTGATCCTGACGTCATCCCTTGCTGCCCTTGCCTTCCAGCCGCGGGTGGCCAGCAGGATGGCTTCCCGCCCCGAGCCACAGCCCACATCCAAGGCTTTGGGCACCTGCAAGTCAGTGTGGAGGCGTGACCATCAACCAAGATCCAATGCGTAACTTCAAGTGAAAAGATCATAGTATGTCACAAACACAGACATAGCTGACAAAGCTTCGCCGGAATGGCATGCAATTTCACCCTAAGGATGATACGAGTATGTCGCCCTGATATTGTCTCACCCCAGGATTCCCAGGATCCACCACAACTGCCAATCTCATATCCGACCCACATCATGGACAACTACATGCCCCCGGGCCTCCGGCAAATGACGCATGCGGAGCTCTTCCAGAAGATACTCAGAGTCCTGAATCAAAGGAATGGATCTTTGGGTGCAAAAAGTACAAGTCAAAGGCTACCAAAGTCGGCAGGGAGAACTTAACTTTAACTTTCGTTTGGCAGTGAAAACTCCTTCGCTTCAAAAGCCAGTAGCCTTGTCATTTAGACCCAGGAAAAGCTTGTGAAAGATCTTTCGGATCTGTTCTTCTCCGGCCTCCAGCAAGGGAGATACCGAGAAGAGGAAGTGCCCCACCGCGCTCGGCCCTTCTTCTGGCAACTCTTCTGGAACTGGCTGCACAGTGGCCATCCATGGCTTGGTGCGGCTGTCAAACCACTCCTGGATCTCGTCCAAGTCCTCTTCCGCGCAACAGACCTCGTCGCACGCTGGCCCTAGTGACCCTAGTGGAGGGCATTTCTGGTGTCCCTCAGATTGAGCAAGTGGGAGCGAGCATATCTTAGTAATTGCCACCAAAAATGACTGAGTGGAACAAAGCGACTGTGAATGGCGTGGACCTCGTTGGCAACCTGCGGCTCTCGCTACGTTGGAAGGCGCAAAAAAACCATGACCTCCCTCTCCGTGTGCTTTCATCAACTGGTCATGAAGACTACGACATCAAACAGCTCGGATTTGAGGCTTGGGCTTGCTTGATCGTTTCGAGTTTCAAGGCCACAAGCCTCTGGACCAGGCCAAGCAGCTCAAAGCCACGACTGGCCATGTCAGCCCAGGGCACGTTGTAGGCACCACGGAGGTGACCTCTTAGAAAGTCCTCTTCAGGGCGGACATCCAAAATCCTGCGATCCCGAACGCCCCGCACCGTTGGTCCTATCCGGTCCGTTGGTCCACAGCTCCGCATTTTGGGAGGGAAACAGCTCCAGATTCCTGGAGGTCCAAACGTAGAGTTTTGGTAGCCTTGTAGCTTGTCACGTTCCATAAGGCCATGGTTTTTCTCGGGGTGCTCTGACTCATTCATACACTACAGCACTGCACCTGACGGATTCTGAGAAACTTGACACTTCTGATTGAAGACAATCAACAAGTTTGCCCCTGACGAGTTCTCAAGGCCAATTGAAGCTCTATACGTGTGCGGGTATGGACCCTGGTTTAGTTATATATATATATATATGTATATATCCCTCGCGCTCTTTTCCGCAGTCACAAGAACTCCCACCCCTGACTTTCAGGGTCAAGGCAAGCGCTGCCATCTTTCGAAGTCGAAGGGCGTACTGCCAGCACTGAACATCGTCTTGAACGAAGAAGTCATCTAAACCAGCAGTATAGCCATTCCACCCCTTTCATCCTGCTTCGCAAAACCGTTTGGAATCTTGAGGGAAGAGATCTTCCAACACCAAAGGCAAACAAGTGCTTAATGAACTGATCTTTTGCCTAGCTAACGGGCTCAAGTTGAATAAAAACAGCTGAGCAGCAACTTCCTGAATATAGTGTTCAAGAGTCTTTAATCTATTCCAACGTCCTTTCCATTGAATCTGACTAATGTTGCCGCACTGCAAATATTCATGGGTAGCTCCTGAGCCACGGAGCGTTCCAGGTGTAGCTCCTCCTTCCGCCTGGCGTCGGGGGATCTGCAAGCGATCCATAATACTGTTCCACTGCCGCCTGTACGCAGCGGTTGATGCTGGAAACAATTTTGCGTCCAGTGCTTGAAGGCCAAACACGCACCAAGCAAGAAAACTCAGAGAATCATCATCGACTCTAACGTGTTGTTTTCGAGCGAAGCGTGAGGTTTTAGGGTTTTTGACAAAAATGTACAACGAACGTGCCTCCAGCATGGAATCAGAGGGAAGATCAAGTCCCTCCGGGTCAGTTGAAGAAATTCGTTGGGGCGCAACATTCCGCCAAACCCGAGTGCGGTGATCACCACCACCCCCACAGCAGGGACAAACAAAGTACTGCGCGCAAAACAGGAGCTGAAAGAACGGCCCGGCGTTGGCCAGGCTCCTCTAGTTGCCACTTCTTGTCAACAGCCCAAGCGCCACTTAGACATGATCTAAACTCTGGACAACTGTTGCACTGCTGTAATGGCGTAAACTAGCCAATATCGTGGAGCTCCCTGCTTGAACAATGTAAGCCCATAGCCCTTAAGCCCCAAGTTTGCAAGCTCAGCAGTACTTAGAATTTCGTCCAGCGTCACATGGGCTTCAGTAGAACGCCAAAGCCCGAAGGCCTCCAAGCATTTCTGCATTCGAACAGAGGTCGCCTGTCCAAAACCCGCCCATCATATTCAAATCCCCTCTGGGCTTATAGCTGGAAAACTGTTTAGGCCCAGGATTCTGTTCGATGTCTCCTGCCATCAGTAGGAGGAGGCGATACCACCTCCCAACAGGCCGAATCCATCCTGCTGATGTCAACATGATGTCAAAAGGCGCTGTGTCGCCGTCAAACAATGCTTTCAACCAAACAGGGACAGGTCGACTCGGAGGAGGAACCGGGCCATCCCTTGACGGCCCGTCGGCCCGATTCCACGCAGACCTGCAACGCAATGTGCCCGGATACAAACCGCTCCCAATCAGATAGGGAAGTGTGCTTCATGCTTTGCTACTGCTGCGGCCCTTGGCCACTGCTCCCATGGTGACCCTGCTATCTAACAATGCAACAAGACGACTGTTGTAGCAAACTTTTGAAATTGATTTGATCCAACTCTTGTAAGTTCTGCATTCCAAACAATTGATATGACCGTGACCGGAACGTCGGAATTTGTATCGAAACAACTCCTTGTAAGGAAGACACTCACATAGGTCCTCGACCCACTCTGGGTCATCACGCCAAGCCCTGTCCCACCGTGCGCCTAAGTCACAAGAATCTTCTGCAGCATCTGCCACACGGTGCTCCAACTTCCGCCTCGTCGAAGATCGGTGCTCTGCTGAACTCCCAGCTGCCATCACCTGACAAAGTGGGAGGGGGTAACTTGCAGAATACGCACTGACTGCTTCTCCTGGGGTCGGAAGCTTTCCGTACACCGTCTTGCTCAGCAAGAAAGGAAAACAGGGATTGATGCTTTAGTGAACGAACCCTCAATGGTGAAGTGCCTCCCCTTATAGTTGCAAGAACATTTACCACTGAGAGGGACATACCAATGCTTGTTGCGCAGCCATTGACTGGCTTTTTGAAAAGCAGATCCAAAAGAACAAAAGCAGAACCGAGTAATGGTGCAGCCCAAGCCGAGCAATCTCTGAAAGGCAGCTAACCGGAACATCACTGACGACCCTGGTTGCTCACAAGACACGTAAGCCCCTGCTTGAAGAGCCAGGGTCAGCAGAAACGCTGTTCGAACTGCTAACAGAGTTTGCTCCTTAGTCAAGGCATCGTCAAGATCAAACCCAGCTGGCTCAGATTTGGGTCTGAGCCTAAGCCTTCTCAATGTGCCAAAGGACCAGCACGGGGGTGCTGCGTGCCATTCACCTATTGCTCCATTGTACGCTAAAGTTGCAAGATCACGAAACGTCTGATTATTGGAAAGATCACCGTAACCTCTACCTTTAGCTGTTCGCTCAATGCCAGGATGCACTCGAAGGCCACATTGTCTGTGACAACTGCTCCAATTCCCCTGCCCCGAGAACAATTCAACGCAATCGAAAACCTTTGTTCCATCTTTCAGTCTATGATTGACCTTCCACTGTTCGCGAGGCGGACTAGCAACAAGAGGTGCATCATCTGGTTGACCGTTCCTCATGTTCCAAACCTAGTTCACGCAAAGCTAACCCTGGGCCCTCTTGTAGTCGAGTATAGTACCCTCTCTGCTCCGAGTGCCTCCACAGCTCGTCGGTGGCTGCAGCAGAAAGTGTCGTCCGACAGATCCCAGCGCCGTATGGCGAAGCATCCATCATGAAGAGCTGTGGATGAGCTTGTGTTCGCATGTTGGTTTGTATTGCGGGCGCAAGAAGACATAAAGCCATCAACTCGTTCTTTGTAGCCCGGGATAACTTGAAAAGTTCATCTTGCTTCAAACCATCGCCCTCCGTGTACACAGCATCTAACACTGCGAACGCCGGCCGCCTAAAAGGAGAATATGAGTCCAACAACCCAACAGCCCCTGTAGTAGTTGTTTGCTAGCAAACCCTTTGTGAACTACAATGGAAGTGATGAAGCTCAGCAACATGACCCTGGCTCTTGGGGCTGAAACACGGCCGCGACAACCATCGATCTCGGCTCCCAGGGCTACGGTGCGGGGTTCCCGTCGTTGTCGTTTCCCAGGGTGTGCTGTGAGACCAACGTCAACGTAAGCCTGGTTTGCAGCCTCGAAAACCTGTTCGTCACGATTGCAACGCAGGCTCCAATCCCCACTCGTCTTGATCTTCTGCAGGCCAATGCGGTCATCAATAGTCAACAACTCGTAGAAAGGACCACGGGGGATCGGACGTCTGTATTGCAAGCACTCTTCCGGAAGCATGCAACCAGCCCGGAGCCGCAACAGGTTAAGGTGGGATTGTTGGGCGATCTCCACCGCCAACGCGTCACCCATGGCCAGGGTACCCAAACACAAATACAATGAACCTGAGTGTACTGAAGGATCATAACATTGTAAATGAGCAACCTCTGAAGCGGAGTATCGGATACCGATTGCATTGCGCTGAGCCCTCTTTGAAGAAACCCTGAAGGTATAATAGAATTCACACAAGTCGTCGGAGGAGATCGCAAGCTGTTCGTCGTCGGCGAACGTAATCATAGAAACCAAATAACCGGGGGCAAGAGTTTTGGTGTAGTTCGAATACAAGAACGACCTAGAGTTCACAACGCTCGGGTTCAAGATGAGGCGATCGAACTCGCTGTCTTTGGCAACAGCGAAAAGTCCAACCGTCTCCACTGGATCAACCCTTTCGCAGGACACCAGATTGCATGCCCCCAATTGGTCCCACTTCTCAGCCAACGCCAGCGCCTCCGACTTGGATGCATGCACTTTTGCTTTAGCAACACGAGGCCAGTCGGTCTTTGGCCGTCGCAACACTTCAGGGTCTTCGAACGCTTGCTGAATGATTGGATCAGTCAGATATGGACGGGGATCGAAACTCGGAGCCAGCTTCCACTTTATTCTAGAGGCTTTGACAGGCATGGCTGCGCAAGCGTTCAAAGACAACTTTTGCGGGCGGCGTGCACCCTGGTCGTCCTGGGCAGAGCCTTTGCCAGAGTTCCTTCTTTCTGAACCGTCACTATTCCGACTACGTGGATGCGAGTACGAATCAAAAGAGGATTGACTGAGGTTTAAAAAACTAGCAATATCATCGAATTCAAACTCCTTGGAAAAATTGGGGAGTGTAAAAGCTGCAGCACTCAAATTCTTCAGTTTCTCACCGGCTCTACCCAAATTATCCAGGGTTACCTCACCACAACCCAAATAATATTCAACCAAATCTTCGAGCCTCTCAATCATCGCTGCTTGGCCAGCTGAAACAGGAAAGCCGGCACGGGCATAGTCAGGAGGAGACCTGCATTGTCCAAGGGCCAGCCAATTCATCGTGATGATCAGCCTCTGGACGCAGATAGCTCGAGCTTGGAGGTGGCGAAGCCGTCGCCTTCTTCTGGGATTTGGAGAAACTGAAGTGTCGGCCGTCCATCGCCTCGGAGGGGGACAAGGCCAGAGATCGCCTCGCGGTTGCAAGGCCCAAGCATTGCGGACAGGGTGACAGCTGCGATGGAGAAAATGAGCAAGATCCGAACCAGACCCCGGCTGTAGCAATCGCTGTCACCACCTCGGTGCACCTA